GCTCCTATTACCAGCAAAATTGTTTTTTTTTCTGTTTATAGTTTTAATTTTTTATTTTCTTAATACAGGTAATAAAGGTTATCTGTCTATCTATATATCCTTCACAACCTACTAACTTAGACCAAATGAAAAGCGAAGCATCAAAATCTCGTGCTTTTATACAAAACGGTGTATTATTAAGAGATTGGTGGTTTATTTTGTAAACATTATTTCCAGCTGTATTCATTATGAAGTTATTGATCGAAATTAAGCTTTTGTTTCGAGCAAAATGCGTAAAATCATGCGCAAATAGGTACCTCTATAACGTGACGTGACATCTCAATACAGCAATCAATAATGTTTGAACAAATGTACATTGAGTTTGATATTAATTGTATTTTTATTTATGAATAGATTTCAATTGAATACCTTATAATCATGAAGCAAAATTATATTTGTATTGTTCACAATAAGACTTATATTTGCTTGGACAAATAGGCGTATCTTCATTTTGTTCAAGATAAATATTTGCTGAAGTAGGCGAGTAATTGATGAAATTATCTAATACTTGGAATAGACAATTACCTGTCTCATTGACAATTAGGTAGGTATAAATTGTCCACGATAAGATGGCACGCCCCTCCAAGTACCAATAAATTATAAATTTGTGAGTAAAAATATTTACAAAGTTTCGACCAAGGATAAATATTCCTGCGACCGGACCGCCACTGAAGATGTTTACTTATAAATGTTTGTAAATAAATTTGATAGCCCTCTATTGAGAATGCTTGTCGAGAGAACTATTATTATTAATAATTAAGTATTAACATCGTTTTTAAGTACAGTTACTAACAAAAAACGGACTCAAGTTGTCTAAAACAAATAAATAAATTGAATAAACACAAGCAAAGCACCTGGTTAGTATATGGTCAGGGTCACACACACATTGAAGTAAAAATTTGGAGGTACTTGCCATGTTAACGTAGACATTATATACAAACTTGTGGTTTTGATCCCCAAACACCATGTTTTGGAATTTAACTGACACCAAAATCTACTATTGTTTATTTAAATGCCGAATTTAATAATAACTTAATATTTTTTTACTATCATATAACAATTTAAATTTAAACAATTTTTTTCAATAATAATACTAACAACTAATTATAAATAGTCTCTCAAAGTACCATATCGAGGCAGCGTACCCAAGATACTGGCAGCATTACCTCTTTGGATTGCTAAACTTATCTTTTACGTAAAGAAGCTGTCAGGTTTCGGGTCACCAGTAACCTCGATGAGGTCCGTTGCGATTGTCCAATAAAAATGTTTTGCATTTGAGCCCCACGGGCTTATGGTCTCTACAGTAAATGGCAGGAAACAATTTTATTTAAATTTCCGACTTACACTTAGACGATGGGGAACTGAGTTGCTAGCAATGTGCAATTCTTATACATACTTATTACAGAACGTCATCTGGTTCCAAACTAAGCAGAATTTGTACTGTAAATACTAAACAATTGAAAGACGAACTTAAATATTTTTTTTATTAAATAAATAATATTTATATATACCTAATAATTGCCGTGTAATCCCAGCATAGAATAGGCCATCCCTTCTTTTCCCGTGAGTGTCGTAAGAGGTGACTAAGGGAGGACGAAGGATGGGCAGCAACGTCCTTCTTAAAACATCTCCAAAGCCTAACTACGGTTGCCAATCCACCTGCCAAGCGTGGCAATTACTGGCAAAACTCCCCAAGAGGGAAGCTTGTGTTCAGCAGTGAGACAGTTAGAAGCTGATATGATGATGATAATATAAATAAATATTATATACATAATATACACAGACCAATAAAGACAAATATACTCAAGAATAAAAATGTTAGTTTTTTTACTATTGAAGGATCCTGCGATTGATCACGATCTCACCTGATGGAAAGCGATGATGTGGTCTTAGGTGAAACACGCAAGTCCTCGAATAGCGTATTCACATTTATACTGTATGAGTATAGAATTCGCGACCATCGGAAGACAAAGCACATCGCTTTAAGCGCTAGACCACCATCTTGGTAAGTCATTCATTTATTTGTGTTCTACTTAATATTTTTGGCAATGGAAACTAAAGAGTCCATTGTGACCCCAATAAATGGACTTCGTCGCGGTCTTCCATAGACTGTTAACAATAACAGTTTGTCTAAAATTGAAAAGCATCATTACCTTAAATCTAGTTTAACTGGGGAAGCAGCAGAATTATTAAAGAATTTCACACTTACCGAAGCTAATTATCTCGATGCATGGAAAAAGCTGGAAGAAAGATATGACAACAAAAGGATTATTGTCAACAAGATACTGAATCGCTTATTAAGTCAAAAGAAGTTAGCTGCCGAATCAACTAAAGGTCTTAAAGAATTATTAGACACTACTTGTCAATGTCTTGTTGTTAAACTTGTTGAAAAATCTCAACATATGTATTTCTGATTGGGATGCTATTTTAGTATATGTCATTGTCGGAAAGTTAGACTCCGAATCACATAAACTTTGGGAGCAGTCTCTTGGTAATTCTACTGAGATTCCTACTTATGCCGATTTAGCTTCTTTCTTGGAGAATATATTCAGAACACTAGAAATGATTAGTTCAACTCAAGTCAAAGAATTGTCAAAGAAGGTATACACACCACAAAAATTTACATCTCTCAAAACTTACTAACGCTACTGAAGTAAATAGTACTTGCACATATTGTTCACAGAACCATTACATTTGTCATTGTAACAAATTTAATAAACACATTCAAGATCAAGATTCGACTTTATTTTTGATCATTTGGCTCCAGGTAAATTAGTTGCGAAGAGTTTTCGTCATCTATTATTCAGGATTGATATCATACAACTGGGAAGAGATTGTTACCACGTGGTGCCGCCTGGAAACCATGGTGATTAATTTATTATTGTATTCGTCACGATAGGTCAACTGACAACTGACCTGCTTCATCACCATCTATCATCCCTCACTGGTACACTGCCAGTGTACATCGATAGCGCAGGGTAACCATTCCATTACCACTCATTAAAAAAAGATACCATAAAACGTAAAATGATTATGTAAAGTTAGGTTAATAGTTGCCAGTATTATTTGTGCTATTGTTATTCTTAAAAAAAAAAAAGAAATTCTTCGACAAGGAAGAACCCTACTAATACGACTGTCTAGCGATAGAGAGGGTTGCCATCTGCAATGTTAGATTATAATTTGTATTACTGTACTTTCTATAATATTATAAATGTGGAAGTTTATGTTTGTATGTTTATTACTTAATCGCGCTTAAAGGGCTAAACGGATTTGGAGAAGATTTGTTACAAAGGTAGGTTATCTTCTTTCTTTTACATGGGGAAATTCTTACAGAGATCCACACATCCTGGGGGAAGCATGTGGATACTGCCGGACTCTTACCGGCTAAAACCACCACGTGTTCCTCGGCTACGACTTACGGTAGCGTTACTACGGTTCTTACTACTCCGCAACGACGTCAACGCCGTTGCTCAACCCCATTTCAAGGAGGGGGAGCCCGCCTCTAGGAGCCTAATTCCCAGTCTATCTCTGAAGTGTCATATCCTAACTGAACACTTAAAATACTTTATATGTTGATTTACGCGAGTAAGGCCATGGAACACAGCTAGTATTAAAAAAAGGCCGGTCAAGTGCGAGTCGGATTCGCGCAACAAGGGTCCCGAACAAAATCATCACGTTTAGTTTTTTTTCTGTGAAATAACTACAAATTTACGGTTTTCGGAAAATTTCCTTCACTTGTGCTACATGACGTTGCTTGCTAAATTTCATAATTCTAGGTCAACGAGACATACCTTATAAGTTTTGATTCCCTTTGCGAATGTCAAAATATGCAATATAAATGGAACATAAACGGCCGTATGATTGCGTCGATTTAGAAGCTTGATTTTTTCACTGCTTTAAGAGATTGCAGACCTAAGTATATGATAATAATTTCAACTTGATATCTCCACGGGTACGGGTACAGTTTCAATTCATAAAACTTAATTAATTAATTATTTAATATAATAATAATTTATTTGGTATACGAAAAAAATTTGTTTGTAGTCGGGCTTTAACAATGTAAAATGTGTTTGCTAATTCCTGACAGTGATATAAATTAAAAAAAGACCTAACCCTTACCCTGCCAGGTCGGCCTGCACGCGAATCCTCCTGGAAACCATTGTAAAGAAGCTTTGATAAATTCATCACGATGTGATCCGCTTTCATCTCCACCTATAATCCTGCACTCGTACTGTGCCAGCGTATAGTTACCAACAGCACCTTTTCATTCCATTTTATTATTCATTAAAAAAAATCTAATTATGTCTTAAATTTTTGCTGCAGTCCAAAGTTACCATTTGCTAAAACGATCATGCTATGTGTGCGATAGGACGGTACATGGTGGAATTAAAATTGTTAGTGGTATGTAGTAATAAGTACGTAAACCGCGAAGTCGTGAGTTCCTAAATTTCCAATCATGTCACCAAAAACTTTATGCCACTTTCGACTAATAAACTTCGTTGAAAATATTCATTGAAAACATATATTATGGATTGTTTATGGTTCTGTACATGTATATAGGCGACGATTACCATTTTCCTACAGGTGGACCAATAAATAGCATGTGTGCCATCGCCACAGTTCCCTAAAACGTTAAAAATGTTTGGAACGACTCAATGTTGTTTTCACAAAGTACTAAAACTTTCAGTAATCCTTTGAAATTTAGGTATGTAGTATCAATTGAAACCAGCGAATTGTTATACATTTCTAGAAAACTCTAAAGGTTATACACAAACAAGTTTTAATGACAATATTTGCAACATTACAATAACTGAATCAAGCCTTAATTTGTCTTATTGTTCAGGATCGCAAGACGTTTTGTACATTGTTTCAAATTGAAAGAGTATTTTCTTGATTGCGTCAATATTTGTATTGTAGCTTTTGTTGATTTTATATGTGATTATTACGTCAATAATATAGCATAATTTCGGTATAAAAGGGCCTGGAAATCAGACTTCAGCATCAGTCCGGTTCCACTCTCAATACAATATGAGAGTCACAACCTTCGTGATCTTGTGCTGTGCTCTGCAGGTGAGTAATACATTTGAATATACTATTTTCTTGGACCATTATAAATATTCATATTTTTCAATCATAATTGTTAGATTTAATATAACAAACGTAAGATAATAATTTTAACAACTTTATAATGGCACCAGTTATCGTACAAATAAAATTCTTCATTAAAATATACCAAGAAATCCTAAAAAATCTATGTAGACATTTTTAAATATGAAAACCCTTATCACATGCCCTTTTACGATAATCACTGAAACTGCACAACCGATTATGATACAATTTTGTGAATGTTTTTGTTTATTCCAACTTGAGAAATATAAATAGGAATATAACATAACAACAATTTTTAATATAGATATACGTATAGAGAGCAAAACAATATTTTCTGAGTATGCTCTGTATGTAAAAATAACAAAATAGACACCAAACATAATGAAAACTTCCATCCAATAAATTTGAAAGACAGCTTATAAATGGTATTTATGTAGCCTTGAATGGTATTATGGGCTTCATATACTATTAAGATCTTTATAATGTTTCTACTTGTCTAAATATACTTTTGAACATTACTCCTAATTTATTCAGAGCTGTATATAGTTATTAATAGTTGTAGGCATTTATTTCATTCAATAGTTAATTGCCTTAACAGAGAAATACTTAAAAATTAATCGTTACATAAAATTTAACAAGACTTTAAAATATAATTAAAACAATCTGCATTAAATCTCCGGAATGATGCTCACCCAAGAAAGATAGTAAAAATATTTTGTCATTTTGTGTATTTGCTGGATGGTTAGACTCCATATGAAATATCCGGTCGATATAATAACACTTACATATAAACACAATTAATGCTATTAATATGTTACACATGTAACAATCACTTTTAACAACATTTATCTAAATTTATTATATTTTCTACCCCTTAAAGAAATTGATCTAGCTGTGTTTCGGTGGAATGTGACTGTTTAATTATGGGTTACATCATAGTCGGGATTGCATTTCATAGGATATGTACGAATCATTATAGGTACCAAATGCATCACAATGTATTTGTGATATACCCACATGTCTATAGGCGATGGTTACCACTTTCCATCAAGTGGGCCGTCAGGTTGTTTGCCATTCTAAGTTGTATAAAAAAAATGTTAAATCGACGGGTTTCGAAGAATGTAAATGGTAGCCGTCCAAATGAATACTGAATTGTCCACAAATTATAATCCCACACCTCCGATAAGTACCAATTGTTCAAAGTGTTAGCAACAATGTATGGATATTAATTGCACTTCATTATTTTCATACATAATTATTCTCTTATTTACAGTATGTTACTGCAGATGCCATTGACGATAGTCTTCTCAACTTTAATAATGAGAATTTCATAGAAATCGGTGAAAGCACAACAGCAGAAGTTGATGTTGAGAACGGGACTTTAGTCGAAAGAGAGACAACAAGAAAGAAATACGAAAGAGATGGAGACATTACACCAAACATTTCTGGTGAAGACAAGATCGTCAGAACTTTCGTTATTGAAACTGACGCATCCGGTCACGAAACAGTCTACGAAGAAGACGTAGTCATAAAAAGAAAGCCGGGACAACAAGGCGTCACAGAAAGAACTACAATAGGAAGGCGACAAACTGGAATTTCAGCTGCACCAGTGCCAGCACCTTCAAGTCAAGCACCTACAGTTGTTGTAGAAAGCAATAGCCCTATTGCACCCGCACCAGTATCAGGACCAGTTTCTATAGGACCCCAACTTGGAGCAGTTGGACCATACGGACCAAGTAGATCATCAACTGCAACTACAACATCAGGAACAGGTGTAGTACAACAAATAAGAACTGACTCCACTGGCTCATCAGCTGCCTCTGCAGCGACTGGCGCATCTAGTGTTGCACCTGTCATCGTCATTGAGGATGGATCTTCAGCAGCATCAGCAGCAGCAGCAGGCTCGGGTGCATCTGGAGTAGGTGGCCTTGGACTTGGTGCATTGGGACCACTCGGTGGCATTGGACAAAGCGGAGTATCGTCGGCTACCACATCAGGTGCAGGACTTGGTGGAGTTGGCGCCGTCGGAGCATCAGGACTAGGCGGACTTGGAGGCGCAGGCGCATCCGCAGCAGGCTCTGCTGGAGCTGGACTTGGTGGAGTTGGAGTAGGTGGTTCATCTGGATCATCCGCTGCCTCAGCAGCCTCAGGCGCATCTGGAGCTGGAGAAGTCATTCTCATTGACGACAGATCTTCCGCAGCGTCAGCAGCAGCAGCAGGCTCAGGTGCATCAGGAGTAGGTGGCCTCGGACTCAGTGGATTGGGACCAATCGGTGGAATCGGACCAATTGGAGCAACATCGGCTAGCACATCAGGTGCAGGACTTGGTGGAGTTGGTGCCGCCGGAGCATCAGGACTAGGCGGACTTGGTGGTGCAGGCGCATCCGCAGCAGGTTCTGCTGGAGCCGGACTCGGTGGAATCGGAGCAGGTGGTTCGTCTGGATCATCTGCCGCTTCAGCGGCGTCAGGCGCATCTGGAGCTGGAGAAGTAATAGTCATTGACGACAGATCTTCCGCAGCATCAGCAGCAGCAGCAAGCTCAGGTGCATCTGGACTAGGTGGTCTTGGACTTGGTGGACTGGGACCATACGGCGGCATCGGGCTAAACGGAGTATCATCGGCTAGCGCATTAGGTGCAGGACTCGGTGGAGTTGGTACCGCCGGAGCATCAGGATTGGGCGGACTTGAAGGTGCAGGCGTATCCGCAGTCGGGCCTGCTGGAGCTGGACTCGGTGGTGTTGGAGCAGGTGGTTCATCTGGATCATCCGCTGCCTCGGCGGCCTCAGGCGCATCTGGACCTGCACCTGTCATCGTCATTGAAGATGGATCTTCAGCAGCATCAGCAGCAGCAGCAGGCTCAGGTGCATCTGGACTAGGCGGTCTCGGACTCGGCGCATGGGGACCACTCGGTGGAATCGGACCAAACGGAGTATCATCGGCTAGTGCAACTGGCTCCGCAGCTGGCTCTACCGGAGCTGGACTTGGTGGAAGCGGTGCAGCTGGATCATCAGCTGCTTCTGCAGCCTCAGGCGCAGCTGGACCCGCACCTGTTATCGTCATTGAAGATGGATCTTCAGCAGCATCAGCAGCAGCAGCAGGCTCAGGTGCATCTGGATTGGGTGGACTTGGACTTGGCGCATGGGGACCACTCGGTGGAATCGGACCAAATGGAGTATCATCGGCTAGTGCAACTGGCTCTGCAGCTGGCTCTATCGGATCTGGACTCGGTGGAAGCGGTGCAGCTGGGTCGTCAGCTGCTTCTGCAGCCTCAGGCGCAGCTGGAGCCGCACCTGTCATTGTCATTGAGGATGGATCTTCAGCAGCATCAGCAGCAGCAGCAGGTTCAGGTGCATCTGGAGTAGGTGGCCTTGGACTTGGCGCATTGGGACCACTCGGTGGAATCGGACCAATTGGAGCATCATCGGCTGGTGCATCAGGTGCAGGACTTGGTGGAGTTGGCGCCGCCGGTACATCGGGACTTGGCGGTATTGGAGGCGTAGGTGCATCCACAGCTGGTTCTGCTGGAGCTGGACTCGGTGGAATCGGAGCAGGTGGTTCGTCTGGATCATCTGCTGCCTCAGCGGCCTCAGGCGCCTCTGGAGCTGGAGAAGTCATTGTCATTGACGACAGATCTTCCGCAGCATCAGCAGCAGCAGCAGGCTCAGGTGCATCTGGACCAGGAGGACTTGGACTTGGCGTATGGGGACCACTCGGTGGAATCGGACCAATCGGAGCATCATCGGCTAGCGCATCAGGTGCAGGACTTGGTGGAGTTGGCGCCGCCGGAACATCGGGACTTGGCGGTCTTGGAGGCGCAGGCGCATCCGCAGCAGGTTCTGCTGGAGCTGGACTCGGTGGAATCGGAGCAAGTGGTTCTTCTGGATCATCTGTTGCCTCAGCGGCCTCAGGCACATCTGGAGCTGGAGAAGTCATTGTCATTGACGACAGATCTTCCGCAGCGTCAGCAGCAGCAGCAGGCTCAGGTGCATCTGGACTAGGTGGACTCGGACTCGGTGGACTAGGACCATACGGCGGCATCGGGCTAAACGGAGTATCATCGGCTAGCGCATTAGGTGCAGGACTCGGTGGAGTTGGCACCGCCGGAGCATCAGGATTGGGCGGACTTGGAGGCACAGGCGCATCCGCGGCCGGGTCTGCTGGAGCTGGCCTCGGTGGTGTTGGAGCAGGTGGTTCGTCTGGATCATCCGCTGCCTCGGCGGCCTCAGGCGCATCTGGAGCTGGTGAGGTCATTGTCATTGACGACAGATCTTCCGCAGCTTCAGCAGCAGCAGCAGGCTCAGGTGCATCTGGACCAGGAGGACTTGGACTTGGCGTATGGGGACCACTCGGTGGAATCGGACCAAACGGAGTATCATCGGCTAGTGCAACTGGCTCTGCAGCTGGATCTACCGGAGCTGGACTTGGTGGAAGCGGTGCAGCTGGATCTTCAGCTGCTTCTGCAGCCTCAGGCGCAGCTGGACCCGCACCTGTCATCGTTATTGAAGATGGATCTTCAGCAGCATCAGCAGCAGCAGCAGGCTCAGGTGCATCTGGACTAGGTGGACTTGGACTCGGCGCATGGGGACCACTCGGTGGCATCGGACCAAACGGAGTATCATCGGCTAGTGCAACTGGCTCTGCAGCTGGATCTACCCGAGCTGGACTTGGTGGAAGCGGTGCAGCTGGATCTTCAGCTGCTTCTGCAGCCTCAGGCGCAGCTGGACCCGCACCTGTTATCGTCATTGAAGATGGATCTTCAGCAGCATCAGCAGCAGCAGCAGGCTCAGGTGCATCTGGATTGGGTGGACTTGGACTTGGCGCATGGGGACCACTCGGTGGCATCGGGCCAAACGGAGTATCATCGGCCAGTGCAACTGGCTCCGCAGCTGGCTCTACAGGAGCTGGACTCGGTGGAAGCGGTGCAGCTGGATCGTCAGCTGCTTCAGCAGCCTCAGGCGCTGCTGGACCCGCACCTGTCATTGTCATTGAGGATGGATCTTCAGCAGCATCAGCAGCAGCAGCAGGCTCGGGTGCATCTGGAGTAGGTGGCCTTGGACTCAGCGCATTGGGACCACTCGGTGGAATCGGACCAAACGGAGTATCATCAGCTAGCGCATTAGGTGCAGGACTTGGCGGAGTTGGCGCCGCCGGAGCATCAGGATTGGGCGGACTTGGAGGCGCAGGCGCATCCGCAGCTGGCTCTGCTGGAGCTGGACTCGGTGGTGTTGGAGCAGGTGGTTCATCTGGATTATCCGCTGCCTCAGCGGCCTCAGGCGCATCTGGAGCTGGAGAGGTCATTGTCATTAACGACAGATCTTCAGCAGCATCAGCAGCAGCAGCAGGCTCAGGTGCATCTGGACTAGGTGGTCTCGGACTCGGTGGACTAGGACCATACGGCGGCATCGGGCTAAACGGAGTATCATCGGCTAGCGCATTAGGTGCAGGACTCGGTGGAGTTGGCACCGCCGGTGCATCAGGATTGGGCGGACTTGGAGGCACAGGCGCATCGGCAGCCGGGTCTGCTGGAGCTGGACTCGGTGGTGTTGGAGCAGGTGGTTCGTCTGGATCATCCGCAGCCTCGGCGGCCTCAGGCGCATCTGGAGCTGGAGAGGTCATTGTCATTGACGACAGATCTTCCGCAGCATCAGCAGCAGCAGCAGGCTCAGGTGCATCTGGAGTAGGTGGCCTCGGACTCGGCGCATGGGGACCACTCGGTGGAATCGGACCAAACGGAGTATCATCAGCTAGCGCATTAGGTGCAGGTCTCGGCGGAGTTGGCACCGCCGGAGCATCAGGATTGGGCGGACTTGGAGGCACAGGCGCATCCGCAGCCGGGTCTGCTGGAGCTGGAATCGGTGGTGTTGGAGCAGGTGGTTCGTCTGGATCATCCGCAGCCTCGGCGGCCTCAGGCGCATCTGGAGCTGGAGAGGTCATTGTCATTGACGACAGATCTTCCGCAGCATCAGCAGCAGCAGCAAACTCAGGTGCATCTGGACCAGGAGGACTTGGACTTGGCGTATGGGGACCACTCGGTGGAATCGGACCAATCGGAGCATCATCGGCTAGCGCATCAGGTGCAGGACTTGGTGGAGTTGGCGCCCCTGGAACATCGGGACTTGGCGGTCTTGGAGGCGCAGGCGCATCCGCAGCAGGTTCTGCTGGAGCTGGACTCGGTGGAATCGGAGCAAGTGGTTCTTCTGGATCATCTGCTGCCTCAGCGGCCTCAGGCACATCTGGAGCTGGAGAAGTCATTGTCATTGACGACAGATCTTCCGCAGCATCAGCAGCAGCAGCAGGCTCAGGTGCATCTGGACTAGGTGGACTCGGACTCGGTGGACTAGGACCATACGGCGGCATCGGGCTAAACGGAGTATCATCGGCTAGCGCATTAGGTGCAGGACTCGGTGGAGTTGGCACCGCCGGAGCATCAGGATTGGGCGGACTTGGAGGCGCAGGCGCACCCGCAGCAGGCTCTGCTGGAGCTGGACTCGGTGGTGTTGGAACAGGTGGTTCATCTGGATCATCCGCTGCCTCAGCGGCCTCAGGCGCATCTGGAGCTGGAGAGGTCATTGTCATTGACGACAGATCTTCCGCAGCATCAGCAGCAGCAGCAGGCTCAGGTGCATCTGGACCAGGAGGACTTGGACTTGGCGTATGGGGACCACTCGGTGGAATCGGACCAATCGGAGCATCATCGGCTAGTGCATCAGGTGCAGGACTTGGTGGAGTTGGCGCCACCGGAACATCGGGACTTGGCGGTCTTGGAGGCGCAGGCGCATCCGCAGCTGGCTCTGCTGGAGCCGGACTCGGTGGAATCGGAGCAGGTGGTTCTTCTGGATCATCTGCTGCCTCAGCGGCCTCAGGCACATCTGGAGCTGGAGAAGTCATTGTCATTGACGACAGATCTTCCGCAGCATCAGCAGCAGCAGCAGGCTCAGGTGCATCTGGACTAGGTGGTCTCGGACTCGGTGGACTAGTACCATACGGCGGCATCGGGCTAAACGGAGTATCATCGGCTAGCGCATTAGGTGCAGGACTCGGTGGAGTTGGCACCGCCGGAGCATCAGGATTGGGCGGACTTGGAGGCACAGGCGCATCCGCAGCCGGGTCTGCTGGAGCTGGACTCGGTGGTGTTGGAGCAGGTGGTTCGTCTGGATCATCCGCTGCCTCGGCGGCCTCAGGCGCATCTGGAGCTGGAGAGGTCATTGTCATTGACGACAGATCTTCCGCAGCATCAGCAGCAGCAGCAGGCTCAGGTGCATCTGGAGTAGGTGGCCTCGGACTCGGCGCATGGGGACCACTCGGTGGAATCGGACCAAACGGAGTATCATCAGCTAGCGCATTAGGTACAGGACTCGGCGGCGTTGGCACCACTGGAGCATCAGGATTGGGCGGACTTGGAGGCACAGGCGCATCCGCAGCCGGGTCTGCTGGAGCTGGACTCGGTGGTGTTGGAGCAGGTGGTTCGTCTGGATCATCCGCTGCCTCGGCGGCCTCAGGCGCATCTGGAGCTGGAGAGGTCATTGTCATTGACGACAGATCTTCCGCAGCATCAGCAGCAGCAGCAGACTCAGGTGCATCTGGAGTAGGTGGTCTCGGACTCGGCGCATGGGGACCACTAGGTGGAATCGGACCAAACGGAGTATCATCAGCTAGCGCATTAGGTACAGGACTCGGCGGCGTTGGCACCACTGGAGCATCAGGATTGGGCGGACTTGGAGGCGCAGGCGCATCCGCAGCAGGCTCTGCTGGAGCTGGACTCGGTGGTGTTGGAACAGGTGGTTCATCTGGATCATCCGCTGCCTCAGCGGCCTCAGGCGCATCTGGAGCTGGAGAGGTCATTGTCATTGACGACAGATCTTCCGCAGCGTCAGCAGCAGCAGCGGGATCAGGCGCATCTGGACTAGGTGGTCTCGGACTTGGTGGACTGGGACCATACGGCGGCATCGGGCTAAACGGAGTATCATCGGCTAACGCATTAGGTGCAGGACTCGGTGGACTTGGAACATCCGGAGCATCAGGGTTGGGCGGACTTGGAGGCGCAGGCACATCCGCGGCCGGGTCTGTTGGAGCTGGACTCGGTGGTGTTGGTAGAAGCGGTGCAGCTGGATCATCATCTGCTTCTGCAGCCTCAGGCACAGCTGGACCCGCACCTGTCATCGTCATTGAAGATGGATCTTCAGCAGCATCAGCAGCAGCAGGATCAGGTGCATCTGGATTAGGTGGACTTGGACTCGGCGCATGGGGACCACTCGGTGGCATTGGGCCAAACGGAGTATCATCGGCTAGTGCAACTGGCTCCACAGCTGGCTCTTCTGGAGCTGGACTCGGCGGAAGCGGTGCAGCTGGATCGTCAGCTGCTTCTGCTGCCTCAGGCGCATCTGGACCTGCACCTGTCATCGTCATTGAAGATGGATCTTCAGCAGCATCAGCAGCAGCAGCAGGCTCAGGTGCATCTGGACTAGGCGGTCTCGGACTCGGCGCATGGGGACCACTCGGTGGAATCGGACCAAACGGAGTATCATCGGCTAGTGCAACTGGCTCTGCAGCTGGCTCTACCGGAGCTGGACTCGGTGGAAGCGGTGCAGCTGGATCGTCAGCTGCTTCTGCAGCCTCAGGCGCAGCTGGACCCGCACCTGTCATTGTCATTGAGGATGGATCTTCAGCAGCATCAGCAGCAGCAGCAGGCTCAGGTGCATCTGGAGTAGGTGGCCTTGGACTCGGCGCATTGGGACCACTCGGTGGAATCGGACCAATTGGAGCATCATCGGCTGGCGCATCAGGTGCAGGACTTGGCGGAGTTGGCGCCGCCGGAGCATCAGGATTGGGCGGACTTGGAGGCGCAGGCGCATCCGCAGCTGGCTCTGCTGGAGCTGGACTCGGTGGTGTTGGATCAGGTGGTTCATCTGGATCATCCGCTGCTTCAGCGGCCTCAGGCGCATCTGGAGCTGGAGAGGTCATTGTCATTAATGACAGATCTTCAGCAGCATCAGCAGCAGCAGCAGGCTCAGGTGCATCTGGACTAGGTGGTCTCGGACTCGGTGGATTAGGACCATACGGCGGCATCGGCCTAAACGGAGTATCATCGGCTAGCGCATTAGGTGCAGGACTCGGTGGAGTTGGCACCGCCGGAGCATCAGGATTGGGCGGACTAGGAGGCACAGGCGCATCCGCAGCCGGGTCTGCTGGAGCTGGACTCGGTGGTGTTGGAGCAGGTGGTTCGTCTGGATCATCCGCTGCCTCGGCGGCATCAGGCGCATCTGGAGCTGGAGAGGTTATTGTCATTGACGACAGATCTTCCGCTGCATCAGCAGCAGCAGCAGGCTCAGGTGCATCTGGAGTAGGTGGTCTCGGACTCGGCGCATGGGGACCACTCGGTGGAATCGGACCAATCGGAGCATCATCGGCTAGCGCATTGGGTGCAGGACTTGGTGGAGTTGGCGCCGCCGGAGCATCAGGACTAGGCGGACTTGGAGGCGCAGGCGCATCCGCAGCAGGTTCTGCTGGAGCTGGACTCGGTGGTGTTGGAGCAGGTGGTTCGTCTGGATCATCCGCAGCCTCGGCGGCCTCAGGCGCATCTGGAGCTGGAGAGGTCATTGTGATTGACGACAGATCTTCCGCAGCATCAGCAGCAGCAGCAGGCTCAGGTGCATCAGGAGTAGGTGGCCTCGGACTCGGCGCATGGGGACCACTCGGTGGAATCGGACCAAACGGACTATCATCAGCTAGCGCATTAGGTGCAGGTCTCGGCGGAGTTGGCAACGCTGGAGCATCAGGATTGGGCGGACTTGGAGGCGTAGGTGCATCCGCAGCAGGCTCTGCTGGAGCTGGACTCGGTGGTGTTGGAACAGGTGGTTCATCTGGATCATCCGCTGCCTCAGCGGCCTCAGGCGTATCTGGAGCTGGAGAGGTCATTGTCATTGACGATAGATCTTCCGCAGCTTCAGCAGCAGCAGCAGGCTCAGGTGCATCTGGACCAGGACTTGGACTTGGCGTATGGGGACCACTCGGTGGAACCGGACCAATCGGAGCATCATCGGCTAGCGCATCGGGTGCAGGACTTGGTGGAGTTGGCGCCGCCGGAGCATCAGGACTAGGCGGAATTGGAGGCGCAGGCGCATCCGCAGCAGGTTCTGCTGGAGCTGGACTGGGTGGTGTTGGAGCAGGTGGTTCGTCTGGATCATCTGCCGCTTCAGCGGCTTCAGGTGCATCTGGAGCTGGAGAGGTCATTGTCATTGACGACAGATCTTCCGCAGCGTCAGCAGCAGCAGCAGCATCAGGTGCATCTGGACTAGATGGTCTTGGACTTGGTGGACTGGGACCATACGGCGGCATCGGGCTAAACGGAGTATCATCGGCTAGCGCATTAGGTGCAGGACTCGGTGGAATTGGCGCCTCTGGAGCATCAGGATTAGGCGGAATTGGAGGCGCTGGCGCTTCCGCAGCTGGCTCTGCTGGAGCTGGAATCGGTGGAGTTGGAGTGGGTGGTTCGTCTGGATCATCTGCTGCGTCAGCAGCCTCGGACGCAGCCGGACCCGCACCTGTCATCGTCATTGAAGATGGATCTTCAGCAGCATCAGCAGCAGCAGCAGGATCAGGTGCATCTGGACCAGGAAGACTTGGACTCGGCGCATGGGGACCACTCGGTGGCATTGGACCAAACGGAGTATCATCGGCTAGTGCAACTGGCTCCACAGCTGGCTCTACTGGAGCTGGACTCGGTGGAAGCGGTGCAGCTGGATCGTCAGCTGCTTCTGCTGCCTCAGGCGCATCTGGACCTGCACCTGTCATCGTTATTGAAGATGGATCATCAGCAGCATCAGCAGCAGCAGCAGGCTCAGGTGCATCTGGACTAGGTGGACTTGGACTCGGCGCATGGGGACCACTCGGTGGCATCGGACCAAACGGAGTATCATCGGCTAGTGCAACTGGCTCTGCAGCTGGATCTACCAGAGCTGGACTTGGTGGAAGCGGTGCAGCTGGATCTTCAGCTGCTTCTGCAGCCTCAGGCGCAGCTGGACCCGCACCTGTTATCGTCATTGAAGATGGATCTTCAGCAGCATCAGCAGCAGCAGCAGGCTCAGGTGCATCTGGATTGGGTGGACTTGGACTTGGCGCATGGGGACCACTCGGTGGCATCGGGCTAAACGGAGTATCATCGGCCAGTGCAACTGGCTCCGCAGCTGGCTCTACAGGAGCTGGACTCGGTGGAAGCGGTGCAGCTGGATCGTCAGCTGCTTCAGCAGCCTCAGGCGCTGCTGGACCCGCACCTGTCATTGTCATTGAGGATGGATCTTCAGCAGCATCAGCAGCAGCAGCAGGCTCGGGTGCATCTGGAGTAGGTGGCCTTGGACTCAGCGCATTGGGACCACTCGGTGGAATCGGACCAAACGGAGTATCATCAGCTAGCGCATTAGGTGCAGGACTTGGCGGAGTTGGCGCCGCCGGAGCATCAGGATTGGGCGGACTTGGAGGCGCAGGCGCATCCGCAGCTGGCTCTGCTGGAGCTGGACTCGGTGGTGTTGGAGCAGGTGGTTCGTCTGGATCATCTGCCGCTTCAGCGGCTTCAGGTGCATCTGGAGCTGGAGAGGTCATTGTCATTGACGACAGATCTTCCGCAGCGTCAGCAGCAGCAGCAGCATCAGGTGCATCTGGACTAGATGGTCTTGGACTTGGTGGACTGGGACCATACGGCGGCATCGGGCTAAACGGAGTATCATCGGCTAGCGCATTAGGTGCAGGACTCGGTGGAATTGGCGCCTCTGGAGCATCAGGATTAGGCGGAATTGGAGGCGCTGGCGCTTCCGCAGCTGGCTCTGCTGGAGCTGGAATCGGTGGAGTTGGAGTGGGTGGTTCGTCTGGATCATCTGCTGCGTCAGCAGCCTCGGGCGCAGCCGGACCCGCACCTGTCATCGTCATTGAAGATGGATCTTCAGCAGCATCAGCAGCAGCAGCAGGATCAGGTGCATCTGGACCAGGAGGACTTGGACTCGGCGCATGGGGACCACTCGGTGGCATCGGACCAAACGGAGTATCATCGGCTAGTGCAACTGGCTCCACAGCTGGCTCTACTGGAGCTGGACTCGGTAGAAGCGGAGCAGCTGGATCGTCAGCTGCTTCTGCTGCCTCAGGCGCATCTGGACCTGCACCTGTCATCGTTATTGAAGATGGATCTTCAGCAGCATCAGCAGCAGCAGCAGGCTCAGGTGCATCTGGACTAGGTGGACTTGGACTCGGCGCATGGGGACCACTCGGTGGCATCGGACCAAACGGAGTATCATCGGCTAGTGCAACTGGCTCTGCAGCTGGATCTACCGGAGCTGGACTTGGTGGAAGCGGTGCAGCTGGATCTTCAGCAGCTTCTGCAGCCTCAGGCGCAGCTGGACCCGCACCTGTTATCGTCATTGAAGATGGATCTTCAGCAGCATCAGCAGCAGCAGCAGGCTCAGGTGCATCTGGATTGGGTGGACTTGGACTTGGCGCATGGGGACCACTCGGTGGCATCGGGCCAAACGGAGTATCATCGGCCAGTGCAACTGGCTCCGCAGCTGGCTCTACAGGAGCTGGACTCGGTGGAAGCAGTGCAGCTGGATCGTCAGCTGCTTCAGCAGCCTCAGGCGCTGCTGGACCCGCACCTGTCATTGTCATTGAGGATGGATCTTCAGCAGCATCAGCAGCAGCAGCAGGCTCGGGTGCATCTGGAGTAGGTGGCCTTGGACTCAGCGCATTGGGACCACTCGGTGGAATCGGACCAAACGGAGTATCATCAGCTAGCGCATTAGGTGCAGGACTTGGCGGAGTTGGCGCCGCCGGAGCATCAGGATTGGGCGGACTTGGAGGCGCAGGCGCATCCGCAGCTGGCTCTGCTGGAGCTGGACTCGGTGGTGTTGGAGCAGGTGGTTCATCTGGATCATCCGCTGCCTCAGCGGCCTCAGGCGCATCTGGAGCTGGAGAGGTCATTGTCATTAACGACAGATCTTCAGCAGCATCAGCAGCAGCAGCAGGCTCAGGTGCATCTGGACTAGGTGGTCTCGGACTCGGTGGACTAGGACCATACGGCGGCATCGGGCTAAACGGAGTATCATCGGCTAGCGCATTAGGTGGAGGACTCGGTGGAGTTGGCACCGCCGGAGCATCAGGATTGGGCGGACTTGGAGGCACAGGCGCATCCGCAGCCGGGTCTGCTGGAGCTGGACTCGGTGGTGTTGGAGCAGGTGGTTCGTCTGGATCATCCGCAGCCTCGGCGGCCTCAGGCGCATCTGGAGCTGGAGAGGTCATTGTCATTGACGACAGATCTTCCGCAGCATCAGCAGCAGCAGCAGGCTCAGGTGCATCTGGAGTAGGTGGCCTCGGACTCGGCGCATGGGGACCACTCGGTGGAATCGGACCAAAGAGAGTATCATCAGCTAGCGCATTAGGTGCAGGTCTCGGCGGAGTTGGCACCGCCGGAGCATCAGGATTGGGCGGACTTGGAGGCACAGGCGCATCCGCAGCCGGGTCTGCTGGAGCTGGAATCGGTGGTGTTGGAGCAGGTGGTTCGTCTGGATCATCCGCAGCCTCGGCGGCCTCAGGCGCATCTGGAGCTGGAGAGGTCATTGTCATTGACGACAGATCTTCCGCAGCATCAGCAGCAGCAGCAGGCTCAGGTGCATCTGGAGTAGGTGGCCTCGGACTCGGCGCATGGGGACCACTCGGTGGAATCGGACCAATCGGAGCATCATCAGCTAGCGCATTAGGTGCAGGTCTCGGCGGAGTTGGCAACGCTGGAGCATCAGGATTGGGCGGACTTGGAGGCGTAGGTGCATCCGCAGCAGGCTCTGCTGGAGCTGGACTCGGTGGTGTTGGAACAGGTGGTTCATCTGGATCATCCGCTGCCTCAGCGGCCTCAGGCGTATCTGGAGCTGGAGAGGTCATTGTCATTGACGATAGATCTTCCGCAGCTTCAGCAGCAGCAGCAGGCTCAGGTGCATCTGGACCAGGACTTGGACTTGGCGTATGGGGACCACTCGGTGGAACCGGACCAATCGGAGCATCATCGGCTAGCGCATCGGGTGCAGGACTTGGTGGAGTTGGCGCCGCCGGAGCATCAGGACTAGGCGGAATTGGAGGCGCAGGCGCATCCGCAGCAGGTTCTGCTGGAGCTGGACTGGGTGGTGTTGGAGCAGGTGGTTCGTCTGGATCATCTGCCGCTTCAGCGGCTTCAGGTGCATCTGGAGCTGGAGAGGTCATTGTCATTGACGACAGATCTTCCGCAGCGTCAGCAGCAGCAGCAGGATCAGGTGCATCTGGACTAGGTGGTCTCGGACTTGGTGGACTGGGACCATACGGCGGCATCGGGCTAAACGGAGTATCATCGGCTAGCGCATTAGGTGCAGGACTCGGTGGAATTGGCGCCTCTGGAGCATCAGGATTAGGCGGAATTGGAGGCGCTGGCGCTTCCGCAGCCGGCTCTGCTGGAGCTAGAATCGGTGGAGTTGGAGTGAGTGGTTCGTCTGGATCATCTGCTGCGTCAGCAGCCTCGGGCGCAGGCGGGCCAGCACCTGTCATCGTCATTGAAGATGGATCTTCAGCAGCATCAGCAGCAGCAGCAGGATCAGGTGCATCTGGACCAGGAGGACTTGGACTCGGCGCATGGGGACCACTCGGTGGCATTGGACCAAACGGAGTATCATCGGCTAGTGCAACTGGCTCCACAGCTGGCTCTACTGCAGCTGGACTCGGTAGAAGCGGAGCAGCTGGATCGTCAGCTGCTTCTGCTGCCTCAGGCGCATCTGGACCTGCACCTGTCATCGTTATTGAAGATGGATCTTCAGCAGCATCAGCAGCAGCAGCAGGCTCAGGTGCATCTGGACTAGGTGGACTTGGACTCGGCGCATGGGGACCACTCGGTGGCATCGGACCAAACGGAGTATCATCGGCTAGTGCAACTGGCTCTGCAGCTGGATCTACCGGAGCTGGACTTGGTGGAAGCGGTGCAACTGGATCTTCAGCTGCTTCTGCAGCCTCAGGCGCAGCTGGACCCGCACCTGTTATCGTCATTGAAGATGGATCTTCAGCAGCATCAGCAGCAGCAGCAGGCTCAGGTGCATCTGGATTGGGTGGACTTGGACTTGGCGCATGGGGACCACTCGGTGGCATCGGGCCAAACGGAGTATCATCGGCCAGTGCAACTGGCTCCGCAGCTGGCTCTACAGGAGCTGGACTCGGTGGAAGCGGTGCAGCTGGATCGTCAGCTGCTTCAGCAGCCTCAGGCGCTGCTGGACCCGCACCTGTCATTGTCATTGAGGATGGATCTTCAGCAGCATCAGCAGCAGCAGCAGGCTCGGGTGCATCTGGAGTAGGTGGCCTTGGACTCAGCGCATTGGGACCACTCGGTGGAATCGGACCAAACGGAGTATCGTCAGCTAACGCATTAAGTGCAGGACTTGGCGGAGTTGGCGCCGCCGGAGCATCAGGATTGGGCGGACTTGGAGGCGCAGGCGCATCCGCAGCTGGCTCTGCTGGAGCTGGACTCGGTGGTGTTGGAGCAGGTGGTTCATCTGGATCATCCGCTGCTTCAGCGGCCTCAGGCGCATCTGGAGCTGGAGAGGTCATTGTCATTAATGACAGATCTTCAGCAGCATCAGCAGCAGCAGCAGGCTCAGGTGCATCTGGACTAGGTGGTCTCGGACTCGGTGGATTAGGACCATACGGCGGCATCGGCCTAAACGGAGTATCATCGGCTAGCGCATTAGGTGCAGGACTCGGTGGAGTTGGCACTGCCGGAGCATCAGGATTGGGCGGACTAGGAGGCACAGGCGCATCCTCAGCCGGGTCTGCTGGAGCTGGACTCGGTGGTGTTGGAGCAGGTGGTTCGTCTGGATCATCCGCTGCCTCGGCGGCCTCAGACGTATCTGGAGCTGGAGAGGTCATTGTCATTGACGACAGATCTTCCGCTGCATCAGCAGCAGCAGCAGGCTCAGGTGCATCTGGAGTAGGTGGTCTCGGACTCGGCGCATGGGGACCACTCGGTGGAATCGGACCAATCGGAGCATCATCGGCTAGCGCATCGGGTGCAGGACTTGGTGGAGTTGGCGCCGTCGGATCATCAGGACTAGGCGGACTTGGAGGCGCAGGCGCATCCGCAGCAGGTTCTGCTGGAGCTGGACTCGGTGGAATCGGGGCAAGTGGTTCGTCTGGATCATCCGCTGCCTCGGCGGCTTCAGGCGCATCTGGAGCTGGAGAGGTTATTGTCATTGACGACAGATCTTCCGCAGCATCAGCAGCAGCAGCAGCAGCAGGCTCAGGTGCATCTGGACCAGGAGGACTTGGACTTGGCGTATGGGGACCACTCGGTGGAATCGGACCAATCGGAGCATCATCGGCTAGCGCATCGGGTGCAGGACTTGGTGGAGTTGGCGCCGCCGGAGCATCAGGACTAGGCGGACTTGGAGGCGCAGGCACATCCGCAGCCGGGTCTGCTGGAGCTGGACTCGGTGGTGTTGGAGCAGGTGGTTCGTCTGGATCATCCGCTGCCTCAGCAGCCTCAGGCGCATCTGGAGCTGGAGAGGTCATTGTCATTGACGACAGATCTTCCGCAGCATCAGCAGCAGCAGCAGGCTCAGGTGCATCGGGAGTAGGTGGCCTCGGACTCGGCGCATGGGGACCACTCGGTGGAATCGGACCAAACAGAGTATCATCAGCTAGCGCATTAGGTGCAGGTCTCGGCGGAGTTGGCAACGCTGGAGCATCAGGATTGGGCGGACTTGGAGGCGCAGGCGCATCCGCAGCAGGTTCTGCTGGAGCTGGACTCGGTGGAATCGGGGCAAGTGATTCGTCTGGATCATCCGCTGCCTCGGCGGCTTCAGGCGCATCTGGAGCTGGAGAGGTCATTGTCATTGACGACGGATCTTCCGCAGCATCAGCAGCAGCAGCAGCAGCAGGCTCAGGTGCATCTGGACCAGGAGGACTTGGACTTGGCGTATGGGGACCACTTGGTGGAATCGGACCAATCGGAGCATCATCGGCTAGCGCATCGGGTGCAGGACTTGGTGGAGTTGGCGCCGCCGGAGCATCAGGACTAGGCGGACTTGGAGGCGCAGGCGCATCCGCAGCAGGTTCTGCTGGAGCTGGACTGGGTGGTGTTGGAGCAGGTGGTTCGTCTGGATCATCTGCCGCTTCAGCGGCTTCAGGTGCATCTGGAGCTGGAGAGGTCATTGTCATTGACGACAGATCTTCCGCAGCGTCAGCAGCAGCAGCAGGCTCAGGTGCATCTGGACTAGGTGGTCTCGGACTCGGTGGACTAGGACCATACGGCGGCATCGGTCTAAACGGAGTATCATCGGGTAGCGCATTAGGTGCAGGACTCGGTGGAGTTGGCACCGCCGGAGCATCAGGATTGGGCGGACTTGGAGGCACAGGCGCATCCGCAGCCGGGTCTGCTGGAGCTGGACTGGGTGGTGTTGGAGCAGGTGGTTCGTCTGGATCATCCGCTGCCTCGGCGGCTTCAGGCGTATCTGGAGCTGGTGAGGTCATTGTCATTGACGACAGATCTTCCGCAGCATCAGCAGCAGCAGCAGGCTCAGGTGCATCTGGAGTAGGTGGCCTCGGACTCGGCGCATGGGGACCACTCGGTGGCATTGGACCAAACGGAGTATCATCGGCTAGTGCAACTGGCTCCACAGCTGGCTCTACTGGAGCTGGACTCGGTGGAAGCGGTGCAGCTGGATCGTCAGCTGCTTCTGCTGCCTCAGGCGCATCTGGACCTGCACCTGTCATCGTTATTGAAGATGGATCTTCAGCAGCATCAGCAGCAGCAGCAGGCTCAGGTGCATCTGGACTAGGTGGACTAGGACTCGGCGCATGGGGACCACTCGGTGGCATCGGACCAAACGGAGTATCATCGGCTAGTGCAACTGGCTCTGCAGCTGGATCTACCGGAGCTGGACTTGGTGGAAGCGGTGCAGCTGGATCTTCAGCTGCTTCTGCAGCCTCAGGCGCATCTGGACCTGCACCTGTCATCGTCATTGAAGATGGATCTTCAGCAGCATCAGCAGCAGCAGCAGGCTCAGGTGCATCTGGACTAGGTGGACTCGGACTCGGCGCATGGGGACCACTCGGTGGCATTGGACCAAACGGAGTATCATCGGCTAGTGCAACTGGCTCCACAGCTGGCTCTACTGGAGCTGGACTCGGTGGAAGCGGTGCAGCTGGATCGTCAGCTGCTTCTGCAGCCTCAGGCGCAGCTGGACCCACACCTGTCATTGTCATTGAGGATGGATCTTCAGCAGCATCAGCAGCAGCAGCAGGATCGGGTGCATCTGGAGTAGGTGGCCTTGGACTCGGCTCATTGGGACCACTCGGTGGAATCGGACAAATTGGAGCATCATCGGCTGGCGCATCAGGTGCAGGACTCGGCGGAGTTGGCACCGCTGGAGCATCAGGATTAGGCGGACTTGGAGGCGCAGGTGCATCCGCAGCAGGCTCTACTGGAGCTGGACTCGGTGGTGTTGGAGCAGGTGGTTCGTCTGGATCATCCGCTGCCTTAGCGGCCTCAGGCACATCTGGAGCTGGAGAGGTCATAGTCATTGACGACAGATCTTCCGCAGCATCAGCAGCAGCAGCAAGCTCAGGTGCATCTGGACCAGGAGGACCTGGCCTCGGCGCATGGGGACCACTCGGTGGATTCGGACCAATCGGTGCATCATCGGCTAGCGCATCAGGTGCGGGACTTGGTGGAGTTGGCGCCGCCGGAACATCGGGACTTGGCGGTCTTGGAGGCGTAGGCGCATCCGCAGCTGGCTCTGCTGGAGCTGGACTCGGTGGAATCGGAGCAGTTGGTTCGTCTGGATCATCCGCTGCCTCAGCAGCCTCAGGCGCATCTGGAGCTGGAGAAGTCATTGTCATTGACGACAGATCTTCCGCAGCATCAGCAGCAGCAGCAGGCTCAGGTGCATCTGGACCAGGTGGCCTCGGACTTGGTGGATTGGGACCATACGGCGGGATTGGACCAAACGTAGTCTCCGCAGCTAGTGCACCCGTTGTAGGTCCTAGTGTATCCTCAGTTGGCCCAGTTGGAGCTCAAGTTATTGAAATTGGATCACCAGTAGTCCCTAGTGTATCTAGGACTGGATCTGTTTCAAGAGTATCTGTGTCTGGCAGACCTGGAGTACGTGTCCCTTGTAGTCTCACTCGTAGACAATTCGTTGTTAAGATTGGCACCAGACGCCAACCTTGTGTTACTTGCTAATTTGTTTGGTTTTTTATTTTTATTTCTTTAATTTCTGGATACATCTTTTGTTCTGTTTTTCTTTATAAATAAATTCTGGCATACGAAATGTAATTATAGTAACTTTTATTTCATTACATGTACCTTCATGGTTTACCACCCATAAGAAAAAACTGGAATCACTGTTGAATGCTTCCAGTTAGCATGTAATAGCTTGTAAATATATTAAAATGATGGATTAAATCACCAGAGGGAGACTTTGTACAAAAGTCGATTGCTTGGGTACCTCTGTTCCATTCGTGTTTCAACCGTGAAGCAGCTGTGTTTGCATGGCTGTGTTTCGGTTTGAAGGGTAGGATATGGCCTGAATTTACTAGGTACAGAGGAATAACACCCGAGTTCTCAGGAATGGCAACGTATGGGGGGGGGTATCATGGGCGAAACAGTATACTCTGTTATTTCCATGGTACTGCTCATGTCTATAGGTATGTGTATATACGGTTACCACTTTCCATCAGGTGGACCGTCAGCTTGTTTGCCGTTCTAAGTTGTATATAAAAAAAAAAAAACTTATAGAAAAAGGTAAAGTAATTCTCAACAACTCTAGGTTATAGCTAACTGAGAGCATACAAGTATTTTTATGAAGATGGATCTTGCTATTTATTGCAGACGATCAAAATTGGCCATGTCAACATTGAGTCAATGACTATCAAAACGTCTATTATATCTACATAGGAAAAATCTTAAAACTATGATAATGATAATAACGGGTCTTCCCTTTAAATAATGCAATAACTGCAATAATTGTAGTTTAAATAAACTTTAAATAAGAGGTTGTTTTGATGACGAAATAACTCTTGTGGAATATGTAGTTATGCCCCCTCAATGTTCAGAAATCTTTGGGACATTGAGGCCGCTCCGTGAGACCTGTAAAAAACCCAGAAAGCTTCGGTGCTTCTAGGAGGAGCTGGGTTAGCTGTACTAGCCACAATTAGTACGCACAATGGCTCAAATGGGATGCTTAGCGCGAAAAGTGTATAATTTACATTTATATGGAGTCTAGCTGACCCTATGTAAATGTAAGTTGAATATTGGACGTCGACCGATTGGGATCTTTTGTGCTTCACCCTACACTATATTATCATTTTATAGATCCTATATGATACCTTTGCAATATCTCGCGGTTTTAAATATTTATATTCCCCTGGCTTTGGATAAGTCGTCCCAATAAACTCATACGCATACTAGCTAACGAATCACAGTTTGTACATCATGAATTCCGATTCATCACTGCACAATCTGTGTGTGTGAAGATATCCATCTTGTATCTATATACAAGATGGATATCTTCAAGGCCTATGCCTTACTGGCATATATCTAATTGAGGCACCCATTATGAGTCTTGTCTGTTGTATGGCACAACTGTAGATGAGTTTTATTTAGCTTTGTCGTTTAAGAACTTTTTGAATGCCTTCAATTTTCTCAATTCCTATTGTTTTTTTTTTTTATTTTCACATAGTTAACAACACTTGATGCAAGTGCGACATATGCTTTAAAACTACTTGGCCAACTAAACTAATTGGCCAACTAATTGGCCTTTAAATTAACTTTAATTCCTATATGTTCAAAAACCCATACCAAACTAACACTGTTATGCCTACCCAAATTATTTATGTTTTATAATATTTAAGGTTAATTTTGAATTGTTGATATAAATGCTTTGATAATCACTTGACTGACCCTTAAAATAGAAAATATTCTTATTTTAAATTATTATCTGGATTTGTAACTGCACAGGTGGTAACAGCATACCTGTACATTTCTGCTTGTAAAATAGTAAAGTATTTTTCTATGCTTTGACTTAGCTTGAAAATATTCCAGCTCCAGTACCTGTTGCCATTTTGAAACCATCCGCATACCAATATAGGTCATTTTCCTTCAGAGATGGCCAGCCATGTTCCTACTCTTCCTTCTGTGATATATGAACTTTGTTAATTAATTTAATAATCAATTATTATATTTTTTATTTTATATTTATTTATTTGTGTTTATTTATTCACTCGCAAGCCACCAAATCGACTCAATCCTTGACTGCGCACATATGCATTGAAAAATCAATTTTTCAATGCATATGTGTGTGTGTTCGAAAATATTTCGTTTTCGTTTTAGTTTTTACTAATGTCAATTATAAAAATGATATGTCATTCGAAAGTTGAAGAACTATGCTTTCATTTAACATCAATACCCTAAAAAAACTTAAGCGCTGATTTAATGACGCATTTTAATTGGTCGCCAGGGAAAATTTGCTCCATCAGGTATCCACGAGCTGCGCCTACTGATCCCGCAATAAAACTCGCCAACACCCGGTTTACCTTATCAGTCACTTATTACAAGTTGACCGGTACACATCCTTGTTTTCCTGAAACCATGGATACCACACGAGAAAAAGCCGCTCAAGTTGTCCACTAAAAGACTTCATAGTATTGGTGAGGGTACTCCTCTTTAGTAGTAATTTCTATCCCCTAGTAATTGAGATTCTATAATTTTGCCTGTATGCTTAACATACCGTCTATCCACCTACAAAGTGTAGAAGAAATGTCATGATGTCTTGCTACTTGATTAATTGAGTTGTGCGATCAAACTCTCCTTTAATGTTAATAAAGAGAGCAATACATACACCCTATCTCTCTAATACAACCTCTACACGGCTTACTGCATAATGTTATGCTGTTTCTGTCGATTTCCTGTCTATCGCTGTCTTACTTTAAACATTTATTTGTACAAAAAAAATTGCGATTACCATTTTTTATAGGTTTGTAATATACCTATAAAAACAGTCATATACATTGTTTTGTATGTTGTTTGTGTAATCCACCATCTTGAGTCTGCGGCCATTTTTAAACATATAATTTATTTTGACAACTGCATTAACAGGGTCAATAAAATACCTATACACATTACTTCATCTTATAACGAAGATGTATAACACATACACACACGGTGTGTGTAACACAACTAGTGTTTCCTTTGTTTATCCCATGTAGTTATTTCTCGGTCTTCCCCTTCCTCTTTTGCCCTCTATTTTTCCTTCCACAATGGTCTTTAAAACATTGTCACGTCATATAAGGTGACACAGCATATTGCCTCTTCTATTCTCTATTTTTTATTATTATCGTTTCTCATTCACCGTTTTCAAGACTTCCTTATTAGTTACTTTTTCTGTCCAGCTTATCCTTTCCATTCTCTTCCATGTTCACATTTCAAATACCTTAAGCATCTTTTTTTCCTTTTGCGTCATTGTCCATGTTTCACACCCATAGTGTCACAGCATAGCCTTATGCTCCAAATGTAAGTTTTTATAAATTTCTTAGGAATTATTTTTGATGTAAATATAATTTTTTGTTATCATAGTAATCGTATCAATATAAAATTATAAATAAAAAAAAAAATTAAAAAAATACAGAAAAATGCACTGCCGTGACGATTGGTATGTAGGTAATTCAACTTCTTGCTATACTGTCGAAAGAATATAGGTATGACTGAACTCAACGATAGCTAGCTCTTCTGTCATACTCGTCAACGGGTGCTTCTAGTGACGACTGGTTTGCTCTCTTGAGCATAAATGCATGCATAAAATAAGTGTCATAAACTTTATTCTAATAAATAGAAAAAACTACAATCAATTACAGTATAAGAATACTGTAATTGATTGTAGTTTTTTGACAAAGTTTATGACACTTATTTTATGCATTCACAATTTTTTTATTGTAAATTCTACTTTCATTTGTAAAAAAAATCTGAGTTTCTTACCCATTCTAAGCTTAATTGCATTTCCAACTTGGCGGTTTATACATAAAAAATTACTATTCAATCCTTATATAAATCTGAAAGTGAGTTTGTTACACTTTTGCTGAATTGATTAATATGAATTTTGCTATAGAGATAGATATGATATTTAAGGTGAATCTAAGAAATCGACATTCATTCATTGAATTATGTACACTACGGTCTGGTAAACTCGTAATGTTGATGTTAAGTGAATATCCCTAATATTTTCTAATATAAATGTTTGAGTGTCAACTTATTTTTTAATTTTATACTTGGTATAAATTGACTGGGTGATTTACTATTATGTATCAGTGTTTAGTTCTATGTTAATAATATTGTAATTGTATTGTTTTTTTATGTTATTTTTTTTTTTTTATAGTTTCAAGTTCGTTGTCTTACATATATTTTCGTTATTTCACTTTTATTTCACTGTGTCAAATAATCGTTTTTATTATTATGTGTGAATATGAAGTAATATAAAACACGCGATCGTTTCCTAAATGAATTATAACCCACACAATCGTAATGTTTCTTGCTAGTATGTGTTTTTGTATAAAATTCTACAATACAAAGGAATAAAGACAAAAATTGTGATAAATTATTACCTACTAAAAAAAATATTACGCGTCAGTATGCGTTCATGCATTAGTATGCGTGAAGTGGCAACACCTCTTAACAAAGGGGGAAGGGATTGTTAGCAATGCGGACTACCAATCCCATTGCTAGCAATATACCCTGTCAGATCGATCTTCACGTGGTTCCCCCTGGCACCCATTGTGCTGAACTCCAGATGTATTCACCGCTACGGGCTAACTGACCTGATTTTCATTCTTCCCTATCATCCCTCACTAGTGCTCCGCCAGCGTATACCGTTAGCGCAGGCGGGGTTACTATTCCATTATCACCGCTTAATGAATCTCAGACAAATATTAGAAAAACCCTCTTCAGATTCTAGTGTCTTTTTTTTTTAATGGGTGAAAATGGAATGGTAACCCCGCCCGCGCTATCGGTATACACCGACGAGGCACCAGTGTAAGATGATAGGTGAGAATGAATGCAGGTTAGTTGGCCTATCATGATGAATTCGACAAGAATTAAACGTGATGGTTTCCAGGGGGAACCGCGAGGAGGTCGACCTGATTGGGTATTTTGCTAGCAATGGGATTCTTAGTCTCCGTTACTTACAATCCCTTTCCCCCCAGAGTCTAGTGTCGACCGTTCGCAGTCTGAACGCCGAACAGTTTTTTAATGGGTAAAAATGAAATACTGACCCCGTCTACGTGGTA